GATGTGACCCTACCTCACACCAAATATTGTTGAGCTTAACTAGTGATAGTTTCTTATTAGAACTCCAGAATTACTTCTCCAAATTAGTGACTAATGAACGAATGATTATTATTAGTGTACATGGTCATGTTTCAATAATTGTTTCTGCTAAGCGTTTTTTCAGCAAGTTTGTTTTCTACGAGATGGAGTCGCTAACCCCATTCCCAACCCTCCTTCTTTATTCGGGCTCCATTAGGAGTAAAAGGTGTACATAAGTAAGTAAGTAAACATGGTCATGTTGGTAGATACAGACCACTTGGTTGGGGTCTACGTGACTATCGTAATCAATGTTTGAAGACTCTGGGTGACATGACTCTAAATCGATCACTATGGCGTCAGTGTATACACTTGAACCGATACATATATGTGCCTGCTTTTAAGTTGTGGCTGACTGACTGACAGTTGATATCATAAACAGTTAACTTTGTTCATTTGTAAACCTCTATTAAGTTGAGAACTTATTTACCCTTAGTTTTCATCATTATTTTCATGGATTAATAATTTTCTTTCTAGTTTCCTTTTTCAAAGAAGTTAATCGAAGAATTTTCAATGAAATTAAACGATTTAGTTGAGATTGTCACCATATTTTTTGTAAATGAAAAATATACTACTGAAGAATAGTACTGAACAATTTATATGAGTATTATGCTTGATATAATGTATATCATTATTTCGTAATTAAATTTTTAATATATGAAATGAGGTTTTGTCGTATTAATATTTATATTACTGATGAGTAGTTTAAAACTATGTGATAAATTTTATAACTTCAGTTTAATGACTGACACATGGTTATCGGAAGTACAATAATTTTATGGATGGATGACTGTAATGAAAATGTATTTGTAACAGAATGGGAAGTTGTGGAGACTGTAATATTATAATAGTTGAATTCACAATTCCATATGACCTAGAATATTATTGAAAATTTAAAGGGCCATTTACGTTATTTTATGGAACTCCTCTTGTATGCAGAACTCGAACCCAGAATAATCGATCTCGGTCGTAAATGCTTAATCAACTGACCACTGAGCCAGCATCCAATAGCGTTTATGTATAACTTCAATCGATCCATGATCTTACTAAACTGTCTTCACCCGGCACAGGTTTGAGTCCCGCATGCAGGATCGTGAATAAACACTTTTGAGGATCTCCATAGTAAGACGAGACGGCTATCCAGTGTTTTCAGGTCTTCAATGGCGTTCTAACTTAGATTAACTTGTGAATTCAACTGTTAAAATACTACAATCTCCAAAAATCCTGATTCTTAGAATTTTAAAATACTTATGAAGATTTGTAATTTAGTCCGTTTCTCGTGGAACTATCAAATGATGATGTTGTTAAGATCAACGATGAAATCTTCATTATAAACCTATTCATTATAGCGATTACAAAAGTATCAATATACAACAGATAATGCGATACTTTTTTAGTGTCTTTATGAAGATTATACAAAAGCGTATTAATTTCACATATGCATACTGTTTTATGACAAATTTGTCGAAATACAGAATTATGATTCCCTGATCATGTGAATGAAATGTACTTTAGAACTGTTTAAATATTTGAATATATTTCAGGAGACTTATGTAATCGATAATTTATTTTTCCATTACATTTAAACTGTAAAAGATGATTAATAAAAGCATCTGACTAAAAGCAACTGTTGGATGCTGGCTCAGTGGTCTAGACACCGATAGGTGGTGGGTTCGAATGCCGTGAGTGGGATCGTGGATGTGCACTGTTCAGGAGCCCCATACTAAGATGAGACAGCCATCCAGTGCTTCCAGGTTTTCAATGGTTGTCTAACTTCAACTGACTCATGATTTCAACTTGTGTAATCAGTCTACACTTTTCAACACGTTTCAATTCAACAATTGTTAACTTTTTGAACTGATTCTACATGTTGGATTGGATTTACCTTATCTAATTTTCATTAGTATACAAGTTCAAAATGACTTTCATCATCATCTCAACTTGATTAGTACTGTGAGTATAATGACATACTGTTGACAAGGTGTTTAGTTTAATATCTTTACAGTGGTACTGTAGTGCTTGTGGTAATTTAATAGTTGCATTCATGATTCGATTAAAGATAGACAACTATAGAAATCCTGAAAGCACTGGATAGCCGTTTCGTTCTAGTATGGTACACGTTTACAGTGCGCATCCATGGTCCCGTTCTGCGAGATTCGAATTCAGGACCTACGGTCTCGAGTGTGAACTATTAACGTTCATACTAGTAAGCCGGCAATCAACGGTGTTAATGTCTAACTTCAACAAATCCGAGAAATCGCGCCATCAAAGCTCCTGGGTTACAATCCCATGGACACTACTGAATAGTCCCATGCTCAGACGAAACGGCCTTTCAATGCTTCCGGGTTTTCTATAATGGTCCACTATTAAAGTAAAAATGATTTACAATTTACCAAGGTTTATTAATTCTTACCTCAATGTATGAAAATGTCTCATTGTATGACAAACACACTGTTCAACGTTTTATACATATATTATATCAGAAAGGGTTTTGTGGAGATTTTAAAAAATTCACTAATTGAAATCATGAGTTAATTGAAGGTAGATCATCATGGAAAACCTGGGAGTATTGGAAGGCCGTTTCTTCTTAGTGTGGGACTCCTCAGCAGTTCGGATCCACTATCCCGTACCTCGCAAGATTCAAACCTTGGTATAATTATCAATATGATTTAAGTAATATTATCAAAATATATAAGTAGTATATACACTTAATGATTAAGGTTAGGAATTAGATTTAGAGTTTTCATCACGAACTGACATTACCGACAATGACAAAACTGTATTTAATCAAATGGATAAATGAATTTCATGCCAAAATCCGAGATCGGTTATGTTATACGTAATTGATTCGTCTATAAAGCATAGTCTTGCCATTATTTATCAAATATCTTGTATGTTGTTAGAAGTCAAGAAAACTGGACGGTGGGAGGGGGAAATATCAATAAACAAGGAATATAACTAAAAATAATGTATAATTCAAATAACCGTTTAGTTACTAGGGGAACTCTGTATATTTTTTCAAAAAAAAACATTCTTTATTCAAACATTATTATGATAAGAATAGTTTCTGTGATGTTTTAAGTATATTCAATTGGATATTGGTATTGGAAAAATGAATAGAATGATTATGGTACCTGAAAAAAAAAAGAGAAAGAGAATCAACATTTGAGACAAGATGATGCATCTGTTCATCATCTCTAGATGTATGAACATTCAAGTTATCTGTAAAAAGGCCTGTAATATATATATTAATCTATCATGAATTGTAGAGTTGCCAGAATTCTAGAGCTTCAATCATTAAGTGATCAACCGATATGTCATGGGGTGTCTGATCTGTCAAGGGCAATGGGATAGTGCATGATTCTCTTGTTTTGTACTAGGTTTAAAGAGAATTGTTTGTTATATACATGCGAATCCGTCCAGTTATTGTGTTGTGGGGCTCTTTATTTTGTCTTTATTTAGATCGAACGATGTTGTCGAAAGGACCCTTCACTTTAGTGGCCCGAGATCTGATTCCAAGGTGATTGTAATGATGATTGTTGTTAAAATATATATGTTGCCCATCCTCGCATATAATCATTGACTTTAATCGCGTTAGTCAATAACGGATTTAGATAAGTCGAATAACGAGAATAAACTTGTGAATACATATATTTTGTATATGAAGCAAATGGAATAGAGAGAAGAGACATGACGCAGAGTGGAGATGGCGGGTAAGCCAACTCCCATTTAACCAAACGCTAATCAACATGTACAGTTACACAAAAGTAAGTTACACACACCTACACGCTCATATAAAAACAGTCAAGATTGAGATAAGAGAATAAATAACAAGGTCAGAATGTGACTCAAGTAGAATGAATAGGTTGAGCTGTCCGTAAGCTAGAATAAGGTATATGGGCTTAACATAATAACTGACACTACAATTGTTCTTATTGTTGTTGATATGTCATGATAAACATATTATGTTAGTTAACATGGGGGTTAAAATAGAAATATAAGATTAAAAAAAGCCAAATTAGTTAAGATATTGATCAAAGTAAATGTGTGAAGAAAGAAAACATGATTGTAAACAACAACAACAACTAATTAGATAGAACAAACCATTTGTCATTCATTGGGTGTTGTTTGCTTGTATCTTCCTGCAGTGAACATCAACTCTTAAATGGAGATTTTAATTAAGATCATGAACCGATTGATGTTAGACGACCATTGGAAACCTGGAAGCACTGGATGGCCATTTGATCTTATTGTGGGACTCTTCAGCAGTGCGCATCCACGATCCTGCTCAAAAGATTCGAGCTCAGGGCTTTCTGTCTCACACGCAAACGCTTACTATTTAGACTACTGATCTAACGATGTTAATGTCTAAGTCCAACCAATCCACGAAATTGCGCGACCATCTTCCAATGTACTATGGTTGATACCTTTGTCTACCCGACACGAAGCTAATATCCGCAACCCTATCCTGGTAATTACCATGTGCTCACTAGTGAATAGCGTCGTAAGGGAATTCTCGGAGTTCTAGTGAGAAGCCGTGAACAGTGGAGCTAATCCATGTTGTGTAGAGACAGGTATCTGCCTCAGTGCATTGGAAGATGATCGCACAATTTCGTGGATTGGTTGGAGTTAGACATAAACACCGTTAGACGCCGGCCGGATCGGTGGTCTATATGTTAAGTGTTCCAGCGCGAGACCGCTTATGTCCTGAGTTCGAATCCAGAGAGGCAGGATCGTGGATGTGAACTTCTGAGGACTCTTATACTAAGACGAAACGAACATCCAGTGCTTTCAGGTTTTCCATAGTGGTTTAGCTTCAATTGACTCATGATTTCAACTATTAGAATTACTACAATATCGAAAAACACCATTCTGATATATATATGCTAAAACTATCTATTACTCACCTATAAAAGAAGAATATGTCAAGTTGATTCTTCTTTACGTTTAATGTAATTTGTACATTTCACTTCACAAGCTAAAATATCAATATATAAATACATATAAAAGTAATTGGAATGATTAATGTAGTAACAGTGATAAGCAATGAATAGCTAAATGAGTAGTTACAGAGGTAATTTACTTGTAATGCTACGATGGGGATTGATGAGTTTATCATATTTTTTCATGGATGATAAACAGCTGAAAGTTTGCTTACCTCAAAGATTCACGTTATTACACTAATGAAAGAAAGTAGTGTAGGTTCGAGCCCCGGAGTAAACGTCAACCTCGGGATGCAGATACAGCGGGTGACGAGTCCCAAATAAGGCAAAAAGAGCATCATAGATTTCAATTTTAATCACCATCTATTTTTGCTGATAATAAAAGTAGTAAGGCTCAGAGTAACGTAATTTTGATTGTTTTCTTGATTAACTGGAACACAAGTTAGGGTTAGAGGTTACCTTTCCTTCCACCTTCAGTGGTCAAATCATCTTTATGAATCACTCGATAAGAAAAGTTGGTAATGTGGCTGATTCTGATGAGAAGATAGATTCTTTCATCTTATTTACTCAACTACAATTACTATGAAGTCTGGTAACCATGTATGGTATCCTAAGTTGCCGTATGAAATCAGTACAACACAATCATCATAATCGTCAACATAATGGAAAAAAAACTGACCATTTGTAGTACAGGTCGCAAAAGATGATATGGAATCGCGCATATCAATGGTACTGGAATTCTAAATCTAAAGAAGGATTACTAATGGTGGATTCTCATATAGTCTTCTTTTGCCTTCTCAACTGAATATGACTTGTAGTTATCGATTAAATAAGTGTACTGTTTGTTAGATAACTGATATTTTAATCTATTCGGATAACTTTCTATGACCTGATATCACATTGTAAAATCGATGCACAAAATCAAAGAATACTTGACAGTTATGATGTCATAGCAATATACAATCACTACAATTCAGATTTTTTAAATGTCATATTATATGTTTAGGGCGGCCAAATCAAAATGTGGCATCAGTGCTTGAAGTCACTAACTTTCAGTCTTAGCCATGTTGATGATAGATACAGACTACTTGGTTGCGATCCACGTAACCAATCGTTGGAGACTCTGTGTGACATAGGTCAAAATCGATCACAATGGTGTAAATGTATACACTCTCTGTCTTCCATTAAACCGTGAGAACTAATTATTTCTTCCTGTACTATACTCTTATATGCAATCTTTCTTTTATATGTTACTGCCATTGAAGTAACTACTAAGAATTCGTTATCCATCCTGTCGTGATAATGAGTTATGGCAACTTGGACCGATGTATCTATGTGCCTGGTACTACATTGTAGCTGACTGACTGACATATTAGTTACTTACTTATGCCTGCTACTCCTAATGGAGTATAGGCCGCCGATCAGCATTCTCCAATCGACTCTGTCATGGGTCTTCTTTTCTAGTTCCGTCCAATTCTTGTTCATTTTTCTCATGTCTATCTCCATTTCTCGGCGTAATGTGTTCTTTGGTCTTCCTCCCTTCCTTTGGTCTTAAGGGCTTGTGTTGTGACACAGTTGGGCGCTTTCCTCAATGTGTGTCCTATCCACATCCAACGCTTCTTCCTGATCTCCTCCTCCGCTGGAATCTGGTTTGTTCTCTCCCACAGTTGGTTGTTGCTAATAGTGTCCGGTCAACGGATCCGAAGTGTTTTGAGTGGACAACTGTTAATAAACACCTGTATCTTCTGGATGATGGTTTTCGTAGTTCTCCAGGTTTCCGCTCCATACAGTGAAACTGTGTTGACATTCGTATTGAGAATCCTGACATTGGTGTTGGTTGACAGACAGTTGTTTTGAGTTCCAGAAGTTTTTCTGTTGTAAATATGCTGCTCTTGCTTTGCCGATCCGCGCCTTCACATCTGCATCAGATACACTATGTTCATCAATGATGCTGCTCAAATATGTAATGGTTTTTACATCTTCCAAATCGTCTCTGTCAATTTTGATTGGATTGGTGCATGCTGTGTTGTATCGGAGAATTTTGATTTTCCCTTTGTGTATATTGATACCTACTGCTGCTGAGACTGCTGCTACACTGACATTATATGCCATAATATAAATCTCCATAGAAACAATTAACCTGAACTAAATCTATTCACAAAATGGTTTTCTATTTGATTTTTTGTTTTTGCAAAAAACAATTACAAACATTTCACTAACCTGATTCTTCTTTACCATATCGATAACTTTCTTTTTCACATAATACATTACATGTATGAGGTGAAGCTGTGAAGAATTAAATAAAATAGAATGATTGTTTTGAAAATCTAAGCTAATGTAAGTTTATTCATCAGTATTAATACACTAAATGCGTTAATCATGAGAACTGAACACCTGCAGCCTTTGACCTAAAAGTCTAATCCACAAGGCAGTGAAGCAATGTTGGAAGACGCAGTCCCATATTAGTCGGTGACCAACTATTGGTTCATATATCATTCGTTCCATAAGGATTATGGAACCAATATGCACCATTGGTTTGGAATCAGAGTTTTCCAACCCCCCTAGGTGGATCCTCCATATCCACTAACCCAGTTAAAGCGTTGGACTTTCACTTTTCGTCCTCACAATTTCTTAAACAACATCTTTGCAGTGAACAGGACTTCCCTGACAGTGGCAGTATACGCGTGACCATATGAGAGCATTTGGATAGGTAGAAGTGATTCTCCAGACCCTTGGTCGTACCAGGGCAGTTGGAGCGCGTTCCATTCCTAATAGTTTCATTAGTATGCAAGTCTAATTTATCGAGTTTACTCCACGCACCAGCTTTGCACGGTACTTCTCTAATCTTTAATTCTTAATAGTAATTATCTTCGTGCAATCACTAAAGTAGTCGCAGTACCTGAGTATCATAACAGGGTAATCCTTGACAGGTGTTAATTATAAAGTACAACTTCGACGTAAGCTAGGAGGTTATACTGTAGTGGATGCTACTTACAAGGATTATCCTATGTAGTGTGTGGCTGAACGTGGTATCGAAATTGCAATAATTGTGAAAACTTTCAGTGCATCCAAAGCACAGCGTTAGCATAATGAAAGCTGTTATTCGTGTTCTGGACTCAACAGGCAGGACTCGACAGGAAGAAGGACCGATAAAGACTTCAGACCACTCATACCGGTGGAACGTCATTGGTTTGTCACAGTGCTAAGATTGTATAAATCATATTTCGCTTAGTGAATAAGTTCATATTGCCGATAATAACATTTTATGAAATCAAAAATTCAAGAAATTGGGTGCGCACTGCTGAGGAGTCTCATACTAAGACGAAACGGACGTCCATTGCTTCCAGGTTTTCCATGAAACGAAACATCAATTGTCAATGTTTATTACATAACATTATTAATACAATATACATATGTGTGTTTATATTATCACAAAAATAATGTTGAATGTTACTTACAATCTTTTCCAGGTGGTCCAATTGGACCAGGAGGACCTAGAATGAAAACAATGAAATATTAATGATGATTTTGTCATAGCAAAACAATCAATAAAGTATGAAGAATAATCGAAATCAAAAAATAATTATGAATTTGTTAAGAGTTGAATTCATGCTTCAATTGAAGTAAGACCATCATGGAAAACCTAGAATTATTGAACGGTTATTTCGTCCTAGTATAGGACTCCTCGGTAGTGCACATACACGATCATGCAACATGAGATTCGAATCCAGAATATTAACATTGTTGGATGCCGGCTTAGTGGTCCAGAGGTTAAGCATTCGAGCGCGAAACTGACATCCAGTGCTTCCAGGTCTTTCATGGTAATTTAGCTTTAATTGATCTACGAATTCAACTATTAAATTACTAAAGTCTCTATAAAGCCCCCCTCTTCTGAAAATTTTTTGTCATTTAATAGCCAAAGTCAACGGACAACCTGGCATATATGGTCGGTGAACCTGTTATTATGATCGGCTTTCTATGTCTACACGAACGGGACATTAATTTGCTTTAGACGAATATCTCCACTAGATTCCCTCCCAGTGTCTGTATTCTAGAGGACTTCAACACAACTCAGGTTAACAACACGTGATTAGCCTGATTAAAATATAGCTATATTCTACACCAAAAACCGACAACAAACCGATATAATCCAAAATCAGTCAACAATAATCATAAGGATAGGAGAATATATAACTCATTTAACTCTTATTAGACTACATACTAGTCTGACTAAGCAAACAACTAATCATTATCATCCTCATTTATAAATCAGGCCTAAATTACTATATTATATTATTGCAAGGAGATGAACTGAACAAGAGATAGTTATTGATTATGCCTGGAATCTTGGATACGTTATTAGTCCTATTTGCGACTCATCAGTTAGATAGGACGAAATGCGTGTCTTGAATTTCATTGCTACCCATTAACCATCTCTGCTTATGCTGCTTATGGCTTAATACCGACATTGAACCAATTCTCATTGGATATAGATATGTCGAAAGAGACTGATCAATTGTAATGCTGAACATCCATGAAAGAATTCAAAGAAACAGACTTTATATGCATTTATACATTTATTGTTGTTTACTGTATAGATTTGGCTTATAGCAACGCTTACGCTTAGAAAACATTTGTTTGTGTATTGTCGGGTCCTGATTATTTGATTTACAGTTTAAGGATACATATTTGAAAGTGAGCGTTCTGAGTTCGACTACTGGTGATTAGATTATAACTTACTTACTACCTTACGCCTGTTACATCTTGTAGAAGAGAATAGGCCGCCCACCAGCAATCTCTATCCAATCTTGTCCTGGGTATAGTGAAAGCCGAGTTCCTTCGGAAGTCACGAGGCCGATACTCCTTCTAACAATTAGAGCAACAATTTTTATAGATACATGGGACATCCGGATAATGTGGTTGGATTGTGAATGAACATTGTTAAATCGTTCTGCATTAGGACGAAACAGAGGTCTAGTGCTTGTTTATTGCCAATGATAGTCTAAATGAAATTACTTTGTGATGTTAATTATATTCGAAAACTTCTATAAACATGTATTGACAAAATACTTTGTACTGAATACTTTATGTTGCACTTAATACATAATTCACTTTCTCCTGGTGATCGACTGGATCATGAAGACGTCAACAACTGGGCAAAAGCATGTGATACAGTGGACAGTTAGGATTAGGCTGAACGGTCTAGACTTTGCAGATTATCTGGGTCTTCTATCCCACACGCAAGAACATATGCAGGAGAAAGCGACCAGTGTGGCAGCAGCCTCAGCAGCAGCAGCAGAGAAAAGCAAGATTCTCCGATACAACACAGCATGCACCAATCCAATCACACTTGACAGAGAAGATGTAGAAGATGTAAAAACCTTTACATATTTGAGTAGCATCATTGATGAAAATGGTGGATCTGATGCACATGTGAATGCGCGGATCAAAAAGGAAAGAGCAGCATATTCACAACTGAAGAATATCTCGAACTCAAAACACCTGACTGCCAACCAACATCAAAGTCACAATTTTCATCGCAAATATCAAAACAGCAATACTATGTGTAGCGGAAACTTGAAGAACTACGAAAACCACCATTCAGAAGATACAAGTGTTCATTAATAGTCGTCTATGCAAAATACTTCGGATCCATTGTCCAGACAGACACTATCAGCAACAACCTACTGTAGGAGAAAACAAACCAGATTTCATTGGAGGAGGAAATTAGGAAGAAGCGTTGGAAGTGGATAGGAAACATATTGAGGAAAGCGCCCAACTGTGTCACAACACAAGCCCTCACTTGAAATCTTCAAGACCAAAGGAAGGGAGGAAGACCAAAGAACACATTACGTCGGGAGATGGAGATAGACATGAGCAAAATGAACAAGAATTGGACGAAACTAGAAAAGAAGGCCCATGACAGAGTGGATTGGAGAATGCTGGTCGTTGGCCTATGCTCCATTGGAAGTAACAGGCATAATTTAGTAAGTAAGTAATACATAATTCAGTGAAGCAGAATATAACTTTGGACAATCAATATATTTCAGTACAGAATTATTTACTAAAATGTGAAAATCGTACGTTCAATGCTTTATTCGCAAATTTTCCATCAACTGTCTCAAACTTCATTGTCTCTTCATTTTCATAACCATTATTCTCTGTTCTCATTCATTTCAATTTGATCTTCCTAACCTTTTGTTGACAAGTATTCCATTACTGACTGGTGTTATATACTACTTATATCTACATCATAAGTAACATATAACACAATAATATTGATTAATGGAATTATTATTTGTATACTATCATTATCATATTTAGCTTAAATTTCTTAAAGTATCATTTAATCAAACTCACCTTTTGGACCTTGAAGACCAATTAATCCACGTAGACCAGGTGGTCCTTGAGGTCCCATTTCACCTGTGTGTTGTTTTTGAGGAAAAAGAAGCACAATATCAAAGTAAATAGAACGATCTTTAATAATTTTTTAAAATAATTATGAATAACTTTCATGACTGAGATTGATTCCCCTAACGATTATTAAAATTACAACAACAACAACAAAAAATCAATTACCGACTCTCATAGCAACGTAATTTAGTTCCTATCCCATAGTGTATTACAAGAAACGTTGTTTTGAGTTTCAATTTGATGTACGCAAAAAGAAATATTATTTAGCGTCAGAAGAGGTTTTGTGGAGATTTAAGCCATTTGAATAGTTGAAATCATAAGTCAATTGAAGCTAGATCACCATGGAAAACCTGGAAGCACAGGACGTCCGTTTCGTCCTATTGTGGAACTCCTCAGCAGTGCACATACACGATCTAACGGTGTTGGATGTCGGCTTAGTCATCTAATGGTTAAGCGCTCGCATGCGAGACTGGTAGACTCTAAGTTCGAATCTTGCGGGGGGCGGGATCGTGGATGCGCACTACCACTGGGGAGTCCTACAATAGGATGAAACGGCCATTCAGTGCTTCCAAGTTTTCCATGGTGGTTTAGATTCAATTGACTCGTGATTTCAACTATTGAAACACTTAAAGTGTAAATTTTAGGCAGACGATAGGAAACCCTAAACGATCTAGGTTTCTTGTCATATGGTACTCTTCAGCAAGACGTACTGAATTGATAGGGATGGATCAACGCTAAAAAGAACTTGACGTAGATAATTTTAGTTATCACTCATTGATCAATCCATTGTTGAAACAAACATCTATTTACTGAATTCTTTCACAAATACCAGGTATTTCAAAAAGCTTCTTTCACAAAACAAAACAAAACAAAAAAAAGGAAAGAAAAAGGGTGAAAAAGAAAGATCTGGATCTGTACAACTTTTCAAATTAAAGACATGTATAAGAATACAGGTTATTGACTAGGTTAACTCTAACAACACGTTCATCATAGAGTATAGAGTATTATAGAACTTTTATACTTTTGCTTACGTGAATAGATTTTAATGTGTTTACATCTCATCCTATCAGAAGATATATACGAATGAAGATATGAATGAAGGGGTTGGTTAGTATTTGAGAAGATAACACCTTCCAGGAGTTTGCAAAACTTTAAATGTCTATCCATAACCATATGAATAATGATCTCAAAAGATTCATCACACACACCTTGCTAACTGCCTTCAACACTCTCTGCAATACAACAAAGTCTTTTTTCAAAAGCACGGGAAAGAATAATGGAGAACAGTAAAGAATAATAGGTAATGTGAAAGAATTGACAAATTGTAGGAGTAAATGACGAGTAATCCCAAGAGCATGCAATCTCTTTATGTAGTAAGTCAGATGGAAAGCGTGAGAAGACCAAGAGGGATCAGAGGAGAAGGTAACACCAAGATAATCGATTTTCGACACTGTGTTTATCAAAGAGTTCTCAATGACACAAGCATTATGGGATCTCAAAATGGTGTTTAGTTGCCGTTCATGTCTCATGCTAAAGTTAACAGCTTGACATTTAGATGGATTAAGTATCAGACCATTACCAAGAGACCAACAACCAATACTAGACAAAAACTAATTTATTTCTATGGGATATAAAGAGGAAGAGATAGGCATACATCCAGTGAAATCATCCGCATATTTCACAAAAGTGTTTTTCGTGGAAGATGACAGATCATGCAGAAAAAAAGGAGAAAAGAAGAGATGAAAGAACAGTTCCTTGTGGTACAACTTCATGAGATAGATAGAGACGTTGAACACTTTCCTTCAAACACAATGTACTGTTCTATTTCAGAAAGGTAAGAACATAACCAATTGGTTCTAGATAATGTTGAGAGTGATTAGTCTCACTGCAGTTCTATATACACGCCTTAACCTTAAAGCTGATTTCTAGATTCGTCCTTATAAATGAATTCTTCGACAATCTTAAAATAACTTTCTTGAAACAGCCAAGAAAAACGAACAGAGCAACTAGATAGTTATTTCATTCAAGTATGAAGTCCTTCAATGCTTTGTATACATGGTACTTTTATGTGTTAAACTGTTATCTACAATTCCTAAGATCTTATGAATATGATCTTTGTAATAACTGCATCACAGTTAATAGTAACATTAAACATACTATATAGTAATAATATGAGTGGTGAAACTAGAATTTATAGACGACCTTTGAGTGATGCGAAACTGACCATGAGAGTGTCCACCTAGAAACTATCAACAAATGATGATTATAAACCAGTGTGAGGAATCCGAATTATGAGTTACAGTTGATGATTAACGTTAGGAATTAGATTTAGGGTTTTCATTGCGAACTGATATCAGCTATAATACCAAAACTCTATTTAATCAAATGGATGAGTGAATTTCGTGCCAAACATATTTTACTTATTTTAACACATAGATATTGGTACAAGGAGGCACCAAATACATATGCGCCACACAAATTTCATTTGAGATGTGTGACGACTGTGATACTGCCAGGGTACCCAAACCGAAGCACGTGGTTTTCTTTGGGGGCCACACCTGGAACCTTCAACCGAAAGATTTGATCCACAAGGCAATGTAACAACTTGAGGAGATGCAGTTCCATAGTAGCCAGTGACCAACGATTGGTTCATACGCCAATTGTTCCTTCGGGATACTGGAGCCTATGTGCACCATTGGTTTACAATGAGAAATTTTCAACTCCTCTAGGTGAACCCTCCATGTCCTCTCAATTTCGTAAACAACATCCGTGGTGCGAGAAGTTAATGAGTAGGACTTCCCGGACAGCGGCTATATACTCGTGACCATGTGAAAGCATTTCGAGAGGGAGGGCGGACTCTTCCTACTCTCGGCCGTAACAGGGCATTTTATCTGATTGGTTTCTCCATAAATTATAGTCTCGCCCATTTTTATATTAGTTGATACGAGATTCAAAAATTAGTTAGCAAGTAGTATTTTATATTGTAATGAAAAAGTTTTTAAAAAAACTGATCAATAAAATCAAATCTATTTATACTTGATACCTTGAGGTCCTCGTTCACCTGGCGTACCGGGTTGACCTGGTGGTCCAGGTGGTCCTGAAATAGTGGAAAAAATAAAACTTGTCAATTTAGATTTTATAAGTACAAGGAATTTGTGGAGATTGTAGCAGATTTTTACCGTTTGAATCATGAACTGATCTTAGTTAGACCACTAGAGAAAACCTGGAAATAGGAGAAAGCTGTTTTGTCCTATTGTTGAACTACTTAGCAGTGCGAATCCACGATCCCGATCAAGGAATTCGAACCTAGGGCCTTCTGTCTTGCTTGAGAATGCCTAACCTCTAGATCACAGAGCCGAAATCTAGCGATGTTAATGTCTAACCTCAACCGCTCCACGACATTTTGCGACCATCTCCCATTGCATTGAGGTAGATATCTATCTCTACCCGACACATATCAGCTACTAGAACTCCGAAATGTCCCTCATGAAGCTATTCACTAATGAACACAGTGTAGGAGTTGTGGAGATTATTTTGATTGAAATCATGAACCAATTGATGTTAAACCACCATTGAAAACCTGAAAGCATGAAATGGCCATTTCTTTCTGACATGAAAAATTTTCAGCAGTATTAATCTAAAACTCTTCAAGTGGGAATCGAACGCAGACCCTTTGGTCTTGTACTCAAATGCTTAATCTTTAAACCATTGCTCCTGATGTCAAATGGTTTACATTCTTAAGTCTTTGATTTATTCCTGTTATCTGTTTATATGGATTCAGTAGCTCAGAAATTTATACAATGGACATCCCACTGTGAATACAAACATGAGACCGTAGGTTCATACAGCTGAAGAGCCCGAAATAATGAAAAAAAATAAACATTTAACTATCCATCTTTACATAAATAGTATGATGGAACGTTTATAACTGTTTGATTCATCAATTGTTTTAAGATATGTGAGATCACTCTGACGATGGCATACGTTGTGCATTGAATAAACATAGATCTATAAAATAATCAGATCATAGAAAGGTAATCAATGGAAAAATAGAAAACTGTTTTAATATACCGATAAAATAATTCGTGGTTCATCCCTGTCTTTGACAATACTTCCCAGTTGTCATTGGTTACTATTCATCCTTTTGATGTTTGCTTCTAATTCTCTAATTCTTCGGCCTTTCTTTTTACTGTTTCCATTCCGAATTCCAGGTAAGCGCTTGACTCATGATACAGTTTGGTGATTTCCGTAATGTATATCCTGTCCGCTTTCAGCGTTTTCTCTTAACTTACTCTTCATTTGAAAGCTGATTTGTTTTCATTAAATACCGCTAACTTTATAATTTACTTACTTCCTTATGCTTGTTACCCCCAATGGAACATAAGGTCGCCGTCCAGCATCTCCAACACACTCTATGCTGAGTATTCCATTTCAGTTCTACCTAATTGTGGTTCATTCTTCTCATGTCTATCTCCATCTCCCGACGTAATGTGTTCTTTGGTCTTCCTCCCTTACTTTGACCTTGAGGATTCCATGTGAGGGCTTGTCTTGTGACGCAGTTGGATGATTTCCTCTATGTGTATCCTATCCACTTCCAACGCTTCTTCCTGATCTCCTCCTCCTCTAAGATCTGGTTTGTTCTCTCCCAGATTAGGTTGTTGCTGATAGTGTCTGTCTGGACAATGGATCCGAAGTATTTTGCATAGACAGCTATTAATAAACACTTGTATCTTCTGAATGATGGTTTTCATAGTTCTTCAAGTTTCCGCTACATATAGTATTGCTGTTTTGATATTTGTAATGAAAATTGTGACTTTGATGTTGGTTGGCAGTCAGGTGTTTTGAGTTCGAGATGTTCTTCAGTTGTGAATATGCTGATATTGCTTTGCCGATCCGCGCTTTATGATTTGTTGCATACGAACAGTGATGATTTTCAAAATTCAAACTAGTAATAATGTAAGCTATTTGAAGTCAGTAGATCATTGAATAAATTGTCTTTAATATTCGTGTTGAAAGGTACGACATTTGAGTTCTAGTTTGATTATCAACAGTCACGAATTGTTTTATCCAGCTAACACGTTTTAAGTAGGATGAAATGTTTATAATAAATTCCGTTTAGATATAGTTTTATTCTTTGACCTGGATGGTTTGGTCGTGGAGCTTTTATCTACCTGATGTTCAGGTAGACGTTTGTACTGATCATGTCGTTCGGAAGAACAATGAAAGCTCCACGACCAAACCATCCATTTCGGAGAACAAAACTCTATCAACATCATCCACCTGATCTCTAAATCGTCTCTCCCCCGTCCCATCATGGATTCCATTGATAACCAAACCCAGTCCACTGTGAAATCATTCAAACATTTCGCCTAGGTAACTGATCCAAACTTCTTTATTGCAGTTCAGGGAATCAACTATCCTACCGTATATAATTCTAATCTGTTAAACAAGAAATATCACTACAAATTGTATAAAAATCTTTATTACATTCGGTTAATATAGTTTAACTTACCAATAGGCCCTTGTGGTCCAGGTGGTCCCGGTTTCCCTGGTTCACCAGGGGGTCCTACATAATTCAATAAGAATAATAAATCATTTTAGAAAAAAAAAGAACAATAGATGAGTGAAAAATCACTTTGAGCAGTTAAGAAAACCGACGTCTTATCATGTATCAAAGTATGATTGGAAACAAAGAACCGTAAGACGTTTTACACTTAGAATCAAGGTAATAGAAAAAAATAGACTGTAGTAAGCCCATTCCATCACTGTATTATTTATCTGCTCACTGTAATTTAGACACTTGATCCACCATGTAAATTTCTATGTGAGTATGATCGAGTACATGTCAATGTTTAATCTGTTCTCCCATTGGTTGTAATACACACAGACAATCAATAATTTATCCATCTATACTTGATTAACACTTATTAAATATATATGGATTTTTAACACTCACGCACACACACACACTCTTGGTTTCCCTGGGTGCTTGGTTCCAGTACGCTTGCGAATTTTACCAATATTTAACAATAAACCATCTCTACAACTGGCTTTTGAATAATCTCGAGTACTTACTTACTTACTTACGCCTGTTACTCCTCGTGAAGGAGCATAGGCCGCTCACCAGCATTCTCCATCCAACCCTGTCCTGGGCAAACCTTTCCAGCTCCTTTTAGTTCCTATTGATCCTTTTCATATCTGCTTCTATTATCCGACGTAATGTATTCTTAGGCCTTCCTCTTTTCCATTTCCCTTCAGGATTCCAAGTTAGGGCTTTTCTCATGATGCAGTTTGACGATTTGTGTAATGTATGTCCTATCCACTTACAACGTCTTTTCCTAATTTCTTCTTCAGCTGGAAGCTGGTTTGTTCTCTCCCACAAAAGGCTATTGTTGATGGTATCCGGTCAATGGAATGTTGAGTATCTTGCATAGACAACTATTTATAAATACTTGTACCTTCTTGATGACGATTGTTGTAGTTCTCCAAGTTTCAGCTCCATACAGTAGAACTGCCTAGACGTTGGTATTGAAGATTCTCACTTTGATATTGGTTGAAAGTTGTTTTGAGTTGCATATGTTCTTTAATTGTAGGAATGCTGTCCTTGCTTTGCCAATCCTTGCCTTTACGTCTACATCTGAACCTCCTTGTTCATCGATGATGCTTCCTAGATATGTGAAGGATTCTACCTCTTCCAAAGTTTCGCCATCAAGAGTGATGAGATTGCCGTTCTCCACCTTGAATTCGAGGACGTTGGTTTTTCCTTTGTGTATGCTGAGGCCTACTGATGCAGAGACTGCTGCCACACTGGCTGTCTTTGTCTGCATCTGTTCGTGTGTATGCGATAGGAGGGCTAGGTCATCTGCGAAGTCCAAATTGTCAAACTGATTTTGAGCTGTCTATTGTATTCCGTGTTTTCCTTCAGATGTCGAGGTCCTCATAATCCAGTCGACTACCAGGAGAAAAAGGAAGGGAGAGAGTAAACAGCCTTGTCTTACTCCGGTCCTTACTTGGAATGCATCTGTCCTCGAGTAAATCCATAATTATACAAGGAGATTTAACCTGTGTCCAATACTCAGTTAACGGGATACTACTTACCGGGGTCAGATATAGAGGAAATTCGCCTATACAACACCACGAATATAGTGAAATACCAAACGTACATGATTCTATGATTTGTTAAATGCAACTTGTCTAATAAGTAAAGTTGATTAGCGACTAGCAGTGAAATCCAGGACGTGCGTTTCGTCCTGTTCAGAACTCATCAATTGGATGTACATGCATTTCAGAGTTGATGTTTACTCTGAGACTCGAACCCAGTACCGTTCGCTTTAAACGCCGTTGCACACAAACTAGAGGCTATCAGAACTCAGTAACTAAATGCTGGTTATAAACCAATGTGATGAATTGGAATTATGAATTGCAGTTGATGGTTAAGGTTAGCAATTAGATTTATGGTTTTCATCAAGAACTGACATAAGCTATAATGTCAAAACTTCATTTAGCTTAATTGATGATCGAATTTCACGCCAAAATGCGATACCTGTTACTTTATACGTGATTGGTTCGTCAATAAATTATAGTCTCGATATTTCAATTCACATTAGTATAAATCACAGTAACAAATAGTATTTACCACTAGTTACAAAAGATGAATTATAACTTGTGGCCTTGTGACCCTATCAATATATGAAGTAATGATACAACCAACAGAGACTTATCGATCGGAAGCATTAACGAAGTACGAGCAGTCTACAGTCATTATCGATCCTCCTTCCTACCCAGATCTCCCCGTTCAATCCAGAACACAAATCACAGCCTACAACATATCAATCATGTATTTCAAACATACTGGGTTTATATACACCAGCAAAACAGACCACATCATACCATTAAATACAAAATACACATTTGTATAAGATCTAGACAAATGTGGTTGTCAATGTGGGAGACTGTAATGAATAGACTGGACATAAATGAAGAACAGTCAATCCTATCATAATCATCCATAGGTCAGAATAAAGCTGCTTAACAATCATACAATAAACAGATACAAGTATCATATTGGTTCAGAAATAGTTCACAAAAGTCATCATTCATTATTCTCATCGGGATATAACAAGATGTATTTGTAATTATAATAAGAACCAATGATCTCTGAACGATTTATCACGTCTAGTTACGGTTACAGACTAACAAGTCTCTATAGTTCAACATGATTTAACCGGTACTCATAGTCCATTTCTCACTCAGTGATGTTGTGTAGCAACAACAACAACAACAACAACAACAACAACAGAAATCTCATTAAACAGATTACACATTAGAGTTTTCATTGAATCAATCTTTATCCACGATCTCGCTCACAAGATTCGAATCCAGATGAATGGTGACTCAATTTGTTGGATTAATTGTTGTTGGACATTAACACTGTTGGATGTCGGTCTGAAGGTTAAGATGTTTGTGCGCAAGACCTGAGGTTCTGATTTCGAATACCACGAGCGGTATCGTAGATATGAACTGTTTACGAGTCACATACTAGAATTAAATAGCCACTACATTTGTTCCAAGTTTTCTATAGTGGTTTAGTTTTAATCGACTAATGAATTCAACTATTCAATTACTACAATCACCACAAAACCCCCTTTCTGTTATTATTCTGCTTTTCTTTCTAGGTCAAACAACATACTACTTATTTATTTACTTATTTATTATTATTATTCTAATTTACCATCTATTGTCTTTCAATCATTGATTTATCATTTATCTCAATAAGTAAACACTCAATGTATACAATTTACATATGAACTAATTATAGAGATATACATATCATCATTGTCAATATTCAATAGACATAATTGTACATTGAATAATATGCGTGTCAATACACACACACACACACACAGGCGCTCATTTGATTGTTTATCCTTTCATTTCTTCTTTATTTTTTGGTCAACATTATGATCCCAATATCCTTTTTTTCTTTATGGTCTCATCTCTTTCATACAAAGAAAAATATCCAAAGATGAAATGTATTACAATCCGTTAGTTGGTTTGTTCATTGAAAGGAATACAACTATCTAACAAATTTCGATTAGGTCTATGCACACACACACACACACGCACACACATAGAACCACAAGAATGAATATGGAAAACTTAGAAACAAAAAAAAGAGAAAAAAAGTCTCCAAAAAGAAGTTTTTTTTCGATGATACTTACTCATTCAAGTACTTGAATCAAAAGTGGATTTATTTTAAGCAAAACAAAACTAATCAATTAATGAATAAGATTTTATTTATGTATTAGAAGTTCTAGTGAGAAACATCATTGACCAGTGGAGTTCAATCGGATTCGTTGTGAGATAGTAACTCACTAATGACAATGATGGATGTGTCACTTAATTTTGTGGATTAGTTGAAATTAGACATTAACACCGTTGGATGCAGACTTAGTGGTCTAGTGGTTAAGTGTTAGCGCGTGAGACCTACAAGTTCTAGGTTCGAGTCCCGCGAGGCAGGTTCGTGGATGTCTACTGCTGAAGAGTCCTACAATAGGGCGAAACGACCGTTCGATGCTTCAAGGTATGGTCGAGCTTCAATTGACTCATGATCTCAACTGTTGAAGTTTTCTTTATGCTTACACTTATTATTCCTCTTTTTTTTTTTCTTGAATAACTAACTGCAACTGAAACGATACTCACAGCTATTTTTTTGTTATTTCAGTTATGTAATCTATATTTCCTTTATTTTAGATGTTTTTATTTTTTGGAGAAAAATAAAAAACAGGAAAACAAACAAACAAACTTCTGATGCGTTTTGTGGATATTATAGTAATTTCAATGGTTAAGATCATGAGTCAGTTGAAACTAGATCACCATGGAAAACCTGGAAGCACTGGACGGTCGTTTCATCCTATTGTGGGACTCCTCAGCAGTGCGCACCCGTAATCCCACCCCCCTGTGGGGTTCGAACCCAGAACCTACTAGTTTCGTGAGCGAGCACTTAACCACTAGACCACTGAGCTGGCCGGCATCCGACGGTGTTAATGCCTAACTTCAACCAATCCACGAAATTGAGCGACACATTCACCATTCTCTTCGACGAGTTCCACAGGAATCCCACAATAGGACGAAACGGCCGTCCAGTGCTTTCAGGTTTTCCACGGTTGTCTAGCTTCAACTGACTCATGATCTTAACCATTGTAACAAACTTCTATCTGAAGTTTATACTGATTGTGATGTCGAGCTAGAAGAACGATGAAAGCTTCACGACCAAATTATCTAACTCATCTATCAAACACAAACAAACTAGAAATAACACATTGAAATGATCACTGTAATCTAATGAATAGTACATTTTGTATCATACAAGATAAGTAATAAAAGGAGGGAAAGAAACTAAACAATGATTGATCCTATCCATATATGTATCTATTGTGAAGGGGTGCACTAAAAGGATGAATAGAGACAAAAACTCTTTAATCTTTCAATATTATAGATAAGATTATTCTCGATGATGATACTTGACCATCATGAGTTTGATTTAATTATCATGCCTTCTTTCTT